ACAATAACTGTGGAACACACACTATTTATTCACTCATACACTTATTTATCTAACACACATACTCAGTCTACATTTCAATTTGCACATAATATACCTGTACTTACAACTGTCTATTGTTATATACCTGTACATACAATTGTCGATTTGTATATTTTTATTGCTTATTTACTTATTTTCAATTTTTTATTTATTTTTATTTTTTATCATCTGTGTTTTTTGTTCTGTCACTGTCATTCTGTTACACTGTGGAAGCTTCTGTCACGAAAACAAATTCCTCGTATGTGTAAACATACCTGGCAATAAAGCTCATTCTGATTCTGATTCTGATTCTTCCAGCCATAGAGTGCGGTGTTGCCATGGAATAGTCAAGAAAGGACTTAATTATTAAATCAAGCCAAATGTTACTAAATAACTATTTATTTGTTTATATTTTGGTTGACTGGTGATTTTCGCAGAGTGCTTAGTGTGGACATTGTGTTCTTGTATGTTTTTCAAGAGTGTTTGCGTTTCTTGCCACACGCTTTTATTTTGAAATCTGAAAAAGGAAGTACAGCGGTGCTGTGTGTGTACATTGGCGCACTTTTTTGTACGTGAAGCGTCATTCTGATTAACGTTACCAGAGAAGAAAGATTAACTTTTGGGCTCTACAAATATACGCTTAAAAGGTTTCTTCCTATCTCTTAGCTCCTGGCTGATGAAGGGCACAAGGTACCGTTTTAATTTTGTGCTGTGTGGTAAACTTTGAAAGACTTTGAAGTGTTTATTTTAGCGATCTCCTCTGAAGCTATTAACTAACGTTTAGCGGGTCATTAGCATATATGCAAGTTTCGAATATCAGTGATGACCATTTCATTTGGTAATGTTGTTATTCAGAGAGTGTGTGATTCATTGTTACTGTATTGAGCACAACACAGTGTATTATTGCCTCGTCAATGTTATAGTTTCTCTTGGTTTGCACTCCAGACAGATCGTTTACAGTAAATCAGGTCTTTATTTGGTCATTTTATATGTTTTATGTTTTTCTCACTAACTTGATATCATCAGTTGTACCAAAATTAATTCATTGTTAACTCAGGTGTTTCATTTAGTTCTCATTGCACTCTAAAAGGAGATTGATGTGATTTATTGTCACACTATTTATGATGTAGGCCAATCAGATTGCAACTGTGTATCAGACCAGTGTTAACATTGCAAATTTAATTCTATATGGGTTATATCTACAATACGTCAACTCTTCACTTCCGACTAGTCATTATAGTTTTACTAGCAAATAATCATAAGGCACTAGTAGCCTAGTTATTTCTTGATTTATTAGATACAAGTATCCATTAATGCAAATCTTTTCAAATGGTTACCAATTAAATTTTTTATGTCTTACTATTTTTTTATGAATAACTGCTTGCTAATGACCAATTGAACAGACACTACTGGAATAAGTACTATCATCTAATGAATGGTTAATTATAAGACTGAAAAATATACTACAGTAGTCACTATAAAATTGTATACTTGCAGTGTTGGGCAGTAACGCATTGCTTAGTAACGCGTTACTGTAATTTGATTGCTTTTTTAGTAACGGAGTAATTTAACACGTTATAATTTTCAAAATAGTAAGTATAGTTAACTTACAAGCCGAAGTGTCTAGCCATTTCATTTGGTAATGTTGTTATTCAGAGAGTGTGTGATTCATTGTTACTGTATTGAGCACAACACAGTGTATTATTGCCTCGTCAATGTTATAGTTTCTCTTGGTTTGCACTCAAGATAGATTGTTTACAGTAAATCAGGTCTTTATTTGGTCATTTTATATGTTTTATGTTTTTCTCACTAACTTGATATCATCAGTTGTACCAAAATTAATTCATTGTTAACTCAGGTGTTTCATTTAGTTGTCATTGCACTCTAAAAGGAGATTGATGTGATTTATTGTCACACTATTTATGATGTAGGCCAATCAGATTGCAACTGTGTATCTATTAGTTTATAGGTTAGTTTTGGACAATTATTTATAATTTGCAGGAAGATGTCTAATGACACTTTGTTTGTTTGTTTTTATTCAGCTCTTACGGTGTATTTTGTAGATTAAACCCTTTGTAAACATCAGTTCCTGGAGAGTAAAGTGCATCTGTTCAGCTGGGAATGCTACAAGTGCAAAACATGGATGCAAATTACTCATCAAAAGGAATGGAGACACTGCTGTGGTATCGATTATTTACATCTCTACAAAAATGCGGTTTGATCTGCTGATAGACCAACAGCTTGTGCATGAGAATGTGCCTACTGCTGGACGTTTGTCTTTGATGTCTGTTCGTGAGTGTATCTGAGGTGTGAAAACCGTCTGTCAGTCGTGTGTGTTTGAAGGTTGTTTTTTTTTCCTTTCTTGCTCACATGAAACCGTCGACTTCTGCTCTTAAGAGAAACCACTTTACTACATAATACTGAACTCATCAATGCTGCTGTTCAACAAAAAAGGTTCATATTTTATTACTATAAAATATGAAAATATATAGCCTACTTGTGCACATATGCATCATATATATATATATATATATATATATATATACATAGTGGCATGCGAAAGTTTGGGAACCCCTTGCAGAATCTGTGAAAATGTGAATAATTTTAACAAAATAAGAGAGATCATGCAGAATGCCTGTTATTTTTTATTTAGTACTGTCCTGAGTAAGATACTTTACATAAAAGATGTATACATTTAGTCCACAAGACAAAAAAATAGCTGAAATTATTAAAATAACCCCATTCAAAAGTTTGGGAACCCTTGGTTCTTAATACTGTGTGTGGTTACCTGGATGAT